GAAATCTGAGAAATGGGCTGACAAGTGGTGCAGCGTTGACCCAAACACACCCCTTGAGGCTGGTCATGCTCATGTTTGGCATGAGAGGTATTAAACTTCATATCTAGTTTGTATATAATTTTGCATCTTTTCTACTTTCTTTATCCCGAATTTGTTTATGGTTGCAATCTTGAACTGGTCATAAATTTCTTACGAAAGAACTTCCTTGTTGATCCCTGTAGAAATTTAACACTATCAAGCTCTCAAAAACATCTTGAAACGCTTAAATCCGTGTCTTGTGTCATCCAAAGTTTGATTGCGATTTTATTGAATGATTTGCATGGCGTTGTTTGGGTCCTCCTGAGGATGGAGATGTCATATTCATCCAGTTTGAGTATGTATGTTTGATCTCAAGTTTTTGCAACTTTTGCAGGTGGGGTGAACAATATGATGGATATGGTGGCAGCGTGAAATACACCGACAAATGGGCAGAGCGTTGTGAAGGCGATGGTTGGGCGAAATGGGGTGACAAGTGGGACGAGCATTTCGGCCCCAACGGGCATGGTGTAAAGCAAGGGGAAACATGGTGGAAAGGGAAGCATGGCGACCAATGGAATCGCACGTGGGGCGAGCAACACAACGGCTGGGGATGGATTCACAAATACGGGAGGAGCAGCAGCGGGGAGCATTGGGACACACATGTGGAGCAAGAGACTTGGTATGAGAGATTCCCACACTATGGTTTCTATCACTGCTTTGACAACTCCGTGCAGCTGCGGGAGGTTAAGAAGCCGTCCGAGGTGGCTGAACTGGTTGAGAAGCCGTCCGAGGTGGCTGAACATGTCAAGAAGCCGTCTGAGGTGGCTGAACATGTCGAGAAGCCGTCTGAACAGTAAATGTTCCGTTAGCTTATTTATTAATTAATTAGTTTATTAAATATACATTCTGCATACGAAGGTAACAAAATTTAGTAATAAGTAGTCATAGTTCCTTGTGGAGAAACTACTGTTTGGAATAAAAAATAAATAAACGTCGCTGAGTTTGTATATAGATAGCAGCTTTCAGTTGAACATGAAGTTGCGTCATAAATTAATTATTTACCTACCATTAAAAAAATAATATATAAAAGTTAAATGTAGTTTTTAAATTTAAAAATTTAAGGGTAAAGTACACAAAAGGTCTCCGACTATAGGGTATTATTTTATCAAGTCCATACTAAAAGTTACAAATGGTCTTCCGACTATAAAATATTGTTTTGTTGAGTCATCTGACTATTAAAAAATATAAAATGGTTATCTCACTATTCATTATATTTTAAACTTGTTTTTTTTCCTTTAAAAATTGACAGTATTATGAACTAAAAATTAACATGTTGATTGTGATATAATAAAATATGATCATAGGATCTTAAAGACTGTCATATTTCAATCATAATGTTAAAGTTCAACTTAGAGGAAAAAAATTATTTTTTAACAAAAATAGACGAGTTTAAAAAATAATAAATAGCCGGTGATTATTTTATAACTTTTAATAGTTGATGAACATAACAAAGTAACATTCTATAGTAGAATGATTCTTTTATAACTTTTAATAGTCGATGGACTTAATAAAGCAGTATCCTATATTCGAGGATCATTCGTGAATTTTACCTAAAATTTAATTAACATAGTTTTCTATCGGTAGAAACCATAATCAATTATCCAAATTACTGACGTAATTTATATATGAATGATAATATGATAATAAAATTTTGTAAATAATTTCAAGTGATTAAAATACGCATGTATCTTAAAAATATAATTACTCAAATTCAGAACATTAAAGAAAATAATATTTTATTATTATTAAATTCACTTGATAGGTTAATATGGATAAATACTTAAAAGGTGAAAATCAATTCATATGTATGTATATGTTGAAAGCATGGTTTTTGAAGGTTTAATGAATCTGCCGACCAAGCATGAGCATGTCTCCTATTAGTATGTGTAGAATGATTCAGAATATTTTTGCAGGCGGTACTTTTGACAAGAAACTCAATCGAACTCTTTTGGTACTTATCCCAAAAATTAAAGTACCAGAGTCGTTTAACCATTTTCGACCCATTAGTTTGTGCTCAGTTTTATATAAACTGATCACAAAGATCATTGTGAATCGGCTGAAACCTTTAATGAGTCTTTGGATCTCGGAAACTCAAACAAGCTTTGTCCCTAACAGGTCGATCACTGATAATATTATCGTTGCGCAAGAGGTAGTCCACTCTATGAGATTGAAGAAAGGAAAGACTGGTTATATGGCTATCAAGATTGATCTTGAGAAAGCGTATGATCGACTTGAATGGCCTTTCATCGATGACACATTAAAAGAGCTTCACATCCCGGACAATCTTAGGATGCTTATCATGCGTTGTGTGTCTTCAGTCTCGACTCAAGTGCTTTGGAACGGTGCTATGTCTGCATCGTTCAACCCATCAAGAGGGCTTCGCCAAGGTGATCCTTTATCACCTTATTTGTTTGTTATGTGCATGGAAAGGTTAGCACATGCGATAGCTGGTGCGGTAACTAATGGAATGTGGAAGCCTATTCGCTTGTGTCGTAATGGGCCTGCTCTCTCCCATCTATTCTTCGCCGATGACTTGGTTCTTTTTTGCAGAGGCTTCTATCGAGCAATGTAATGTTATGTTATACGGGGAATATTGGAGCAATTCTGCAATTTTTCGGGACAAAAGATCAATATCCAGAAAACTACTATTTATTACTCAATGAATGTGGATTCGAGCTTGAAAAATTCTATCAGTGCATCTTTTGGCTTCAAAGAGGTTCAAAATTTGGGTAAGTATCTTGGAGTTCCTCTTTTACATTCTCAGATTACGAAATCTTCGTACAGTTATATTGTTTCGAGAGTTCGTGATAAGCTCTCAGGGTGGACGGCTAAAACTTTGTCATTGGCTGGAAGAATCACCTTGGCAAAAGCAGTGCTATCGGCTATTCCTTATTACTCAATGCAATCAACGAAGCTTCCGAAAGGGACATGTGACGAGATAGAAAGGCTAATTCGAGGTTTTATTTGGGGACATACTGAGACTAGAAGTGGAGTACATCTCGTTCATTGGGAGAACATTTGCAAACCAACTGTTAAGGGTGGCCTGGGTATGAAGAAATTGAACGTACAAAATGAGGCTTTTCTCATGAAACTAGCTTACAAATTGGTGGTTAATTCCGATCAGTTGTGGGCTAGAGTACTACGCACAAAATATAAGTGGGTGGAATTGATAACCGAGTCCATTAATCGCACGAGAAGTTCGCATGTTTGGAAGGGTATATCTCAAGTATGGAACGAGGTGAGACAATGCTTTGTTTGGAATATTGGTAATGGGTGTACTCTTGACTTTTGGAGGGGGGATTGGCTTAGTGACATGGGACCTTTGGAGAGTTGTGTTGTCAATCCAGCAGAAAGAAACAATCTCCCAAGGCAATCAGTTTCTTCTATGGTCGATAGTAATGGTCAGTGGCGTTGGGATTTCATCATTGACAAACTGCCAAACAGCATCATTCATCGTCTGGCAGCAACAATGCCCCCACGGCAAAACTGTCGAACTGATACTCTGGGTTGGAAATGGAATGTTGACCGGCAATTCTCGGTTAAATCAGCTTACGAGTTGAGGCGGGGAATTTTGAATGATGATTCGCATAAAGTGTGGGAGGTGATATCAAAGTATCGAGGATTGCAGTGAATTAAAATCTTTTTATGGTTACTAGCGAATGATCGACTACTTACTAATGCGGAGCGAGTCAGACGACATATGACCACATTTAACAGCTGTGGAATCTGCGGACAGTCAGGCGAAACATCAGATCATCTCTTTCGTCAGTGTCATATGGCTATGGCTATTTGGTCATCATTATTTAAAACGAAGAAGTTAGCGGATTTTTTCACAAGGGATTTCAGAGATTGGATGCAAATTAACATCGCTTCTCCGGGGTTTTATGCACGTGAAGAAGGTGATTGGAACTTATTGTTTGGTTCGATTCTTTGGTTGATCTGGAAGAACCGGAATAGAAGATTGTTTGATCCAGATTATTTTGAGCATGAGTCTGTACTAGAAAAGAGTAGGCGCCTCACTCTTGAAGCTACCCGTGCATTGGATTCAGCTTTGTCAAAGTTCCAGCCTTCTCATCGTTCCTCTACTATGTCTGATATTTGGCATTCGCCTCCTCATAATTGGTGTAAGGTTAATACGGATGGGGCTCGTAACGTAGAAAATGGATTAGCGTCATGTGGAGGCGCCATTCGATCCTTGAATGGTGGTTGGATGTTTGGATTTTCTAAAGTGATCGGAGTTTGTTTCATAGTTGAAGCGGAGTTATGGGGTATCCATGAAGGTCTCTCTCATGCTTGGAACCTAGGAGAAAGGCAAATCATAGTGGAAGCAGATAGTTTGGAGGTTGTCCGAATGCTAAAGGTAAACTCTAAGAGAGGCTCGATTTTTACACTTCTTGACCGTGTTTTTGAGTTGATTAACCGAGATTGGAATATTATTTTGAGGCATATAAGCCGGACTACAAATAAGGTGGCAGATCGAGTAGCTAAGATTGCCATAACAAGAGGAGAGGTTCATAAGGTATTCTTCGTTCCACCGCGGGAAGTGGTTGAATTAGTTCAACAGGAAGCTGCCGACTGCATTTTAACAGCAGAAGCTTAATCTACTGCAGTTTATTTCTTTTGTTCACAAAAAAAAATTATATAATTTAAATATTTTTTATTAATAATTTAATTTTATATTTTTTAAAATTTTATAATTCTTAATATATACATATATTTAAAAGAAAATGTTCATTTATCTACTTCCATCATTTCCTTTGTATATTCAATGGCATGCCAAAATTTTCAAACCACAAAGCCTTCCCATTGTTAAAAAATGGTAGAAAAAATAATAAAACCAGTAGTGCTTTATTGGATATGTAAACAAAACTGATAAAGCGTCCAATAATAATAAAATCGATAAAAATAATAATATTTTCGATAATTTTTTATCAGTTTTGTCAAAAAAAATAATAACAAAATCGGTAACGTCTTACCTTCACCTTATATTAAGGGTATCGCACGTGAGAATTTCCCATTCCTCTGTATCTTTTTTTCATTTTTTTATCTTATATCTCAACTTAATTTATATTATGGGGTAATTGCCCCACGTATCCTCAAATATGGTATGGATTTTAAATTAGTCTCTAAACATTGAACTCTACAATTTGTTCTTCGTTTCCTTAAATTAGTCTCTAAACAAAAGTGTTTTCAAAACCGGACCGGACCTTAAGCCGGTAAAGGTATTAGTTCACTGGTTGAACCGTGTTGAACCAGATTATATAAAATAATATTTTTTTAAAAAATTTATATAATATTCAAAGCAATATTAATATATACAACACTACAGAAAAACGTCTAAAGAGCATAGAAGAGCAAAAATAGGAGAACAAAACAATCTCATATGGTTAAGAAACATAGAAGAGCATCCCAAAAATCTAAAGAGTAAAAATAGGAGAAAAAAACAATCACACATGACTAAAAAACATAGAAGAGCATCCCAACTGACTTCTATAAATAATAGAGATAATTTAGCATTCAAAATCATGGAGCCTTTTGGTGAGCACAGAACGAACTATTCTTTCACTTCAATCGAGCTTCTAAAATTTTTTTGAGTTCGAGCCTTTTCGAGTTCAAGTTTCAATATTATATTTCGAGTTCGAGTTGAGCTTGATAATTTTTAGCTCGCGAGTTTTTTAGTCGAGTTGAGCTTACTTTTAAAGTTTTCGAGTTCGAGTCGAGCTCATCAATACTCGAGTTCGACTCGGCTCATTTAGCTCATTTAATAAACGATGTCGTTTGGTTTAATTTTTTTAAAAGAAAAAAAGCAGAACCGGCGGTTCACACCGATTTTCAGCTGTTTCTACCGATTCTCAGCCGGTTCTACCGGTTCTCAGCCGATTCATTGTAAAACTGATTTTGAAAGTTAACCGGATCAGACAGACCACTGGTTCACGGTTCAACCGGTTGAACCGGCCGGTCCGGTTTGGTTTTGATAACCATACTAAACAATGAATTCTGAACATGTGTGTGTGTGTATGAAAAGGGCTGTTTTGTTTGTGTGCAAAAACCCAGGAAAGTGATGCAGAAGAGAAACTTAGAGAGGCTTTCAAGGTGTTTGACAAAGATCTAAATGGCTATATTTCAGCTTGTGAGGTAATTTTTCTGGGTTTGAAGCCCTAATTCAACTTGAAAAACTTTGGCTTATGCTTATGTGAGTAAAATGGTAATAAGATTTGGTGTGTTTAGCTGAGGAATGTGATGATGAAGATTGGTGAGAAACTGAACGATGAAGAGGTTGAGCAGATGATCAGAGAAGCTGATTTGGACGGCGATGGTCAAGTTAACTATGATGAATTTGTGAAGATGATGACCACCATTGGATGACCATCATCATCTACGTATATGTACATAATGTTATTTCTTTTTGTATTTCTAAAATCATTTTGTTCTAAGGAATACTAAACGCTCGTACCTTTGGTATTTATGGTGTTCGAATCTGAGATCTTAAAGAACAACGATAATTTCTTTATCACCGAGATCATTTGGTTTATGTTGATATCAAAATTTTAAATGAATAAGAATCGAACATAAATTCTTTTAAAAATAAATAAATATGAACACATCCTAATTCATTAAGTGTGAATTATTTAACCTCTTATAATTAATTGATTTTGGGTGTTATTTGTTTAAATAATTAAAATTGGTACTGCTTAAATGATTTATTTATAAAAAACATGTTTTTGTTATAAAAATAACTACGAGCCTACAAGTATTTTCAAATGGCAACAAAAGCAGAGTTGTAAATGAATATAGTCGAGCTCGAATATTATTGAGATTGATTCGACTTGAAAACTCTAGAATGAAACTCAATTCGATTTAAAAACTTGCGATTCTAAAAATTTTAAACTCGAATAGAACTCGAAACCATAAATTGAATCTTGTAAAAACTCGAATAAGCTCAAAATGAAAAAAGAAATTCTTAAACTTAAACTTGATTGAAGCTCAAACTCGAACTCAACCCTAAACCTTAAATACATGTTTTATATTGCATTTAAAAAAAACTTATACATAAATGTTAATATTATTAATAATTAATCTTTTTAAGAAAATAAAATCTTAATATATTATATTTTCAAGTTGCTTGCGAACTTTTCTATTTGAGTATCAAGTAACTCATTTCGATTAGTTAAGAACTTGAATCGAGTTTGAGCTCGAGTTGAACATTTATCGAGTTTTGACGTAATCGATCTCGATCAGCTCATGATCTGTCTCATCTAATTTACAACCTTAATCAAAAGTATATAAGGCAAAAAAAACACTATTTAGAATTAAGGAAAAAAGCCATAGTATGTCCCACAACCACTGATCTTCATAAGAACACAAACCACACCGATATAATACAATGTGCCTTCAAGCAAGGGCACCAATGGCATCCTACATACAGGGAAGGCAAGTTTCCATGTCTATGTACCAATTCCTCCCATGGTTTTATTTCGAAATCTGCATCACACATTCAAGACTAAATAGTGTTTTACATGTTTCTCCCATCATTCAACGACAATGAGTTCATCTAAGCCGGAACGGCTTCGTGAATCCTTCCATTTTCCGATGGAGTCAAGCTGTCATAGTATTCGACCAGCACTTTCCAGCCACCGGGGCACATGAATCCGTCCGGAGGGTTCTCTTTGTTCTTTGCGAGCGTACGCATCTGTGGAATTGCAGAAAGCATTTTTTGAGATAAATTTCAACGAAAAGAATAACTAATATCGGAACCAAAATGTTTCTTTGGAGTCGGGTTTGTAGTTGGAAAACGAAGATACCTTGGTGCCGGATATGAAGAGGAAGTCTTGAGCTCTTGCGGGATCGAAGAAAGCCATTTTACCTTGGGTTTGATCATATGCAGCAACCTGAAAATTAAGCAAATCTATATGAATATGCATCTAGTGGTATCAATGTACCAGAAAATAGTGATGGGGTTGAATGCTAGTTATACCCTGAATGGAAGGATGTTCAGCCGCTCAAGTCCTGGAGCCATGCTCAAGACCATTTTCCCGTGATCGGCTTCATAGAGATCTCTCTTCTCGATGGGATGACCCATGCCAGCTGGATCTCTACCGACGATGTAAAAATTAGCTCCTGCATTGATCCGAGCCTTGGCATGCCACTGCACTTCAGTTGGCCCAGCATAGTGCATAGGAGACGGAAATATTGAAACCACAGTTGTTTCAGGATCAAGAACACCGTCCTCGAGCACCTGATAGAACATGCTATCGTTACTTAAACCGTAAGGCGTTTTCATGGCAATTGACACGGCAAATTTACAAGGTTGTAATGAATACCTTCTCATGTTGCTTCATTCGCCAACTAAGCGGGACATCATCAGCCTTTGTGTAGCCTCCCAGTGGATGAAGCAAAAGTATGGGGTTCTTGTACCCCATCTCGAGAAGCCGGAGACGAGTATCAGTCATTAGCAAAGCATGGCCATTGTGGACAGGGTTTCTGAGCTGGAACGCAAACACGGCATCAGCTTTGCGCCTTTCGAACTCTTGTCGCAACTCCACAGGTGAGAGCCGGAAACGATCGAGACCATCGTGGTACTTGATCGGCTCTATAACCTCCAAGTCACCACCAATGAGCCAATTTCCAGCATTTGTTATAGTTTCTTCAACATAGGGTAGTCCAGGGGCAGTAGTTCCCCATGTCTTCGCTATCCTTTCTTCCTTGGGGTGCTTGTAAATCTCAATGCTGAATCAATCAATAAGGAACACAGTTACTGAATTCAACAAGACACCTATGCTTATAATAAGCAACTCGAAATTCTCGCAACGCATTCGAGTCCTTGAAAGTTCGTATTGTATCAAAATCGTCCATGTTCTTGCTCTACTTCTTCCATGGACTAATCCTCATCCCCAATTTTGCTAAACATCAGCAACACGAAGGGGCATTTTCCAACACACAATAATGATTCACGTGAAAGCATATCAAAGTGATCTAACAATCTTGTTTAATTAAAGTGCTAATGATTTACAAGTTCAATTCCAGAAATCATAACTGTAGCAAGTCAAATTGCATTGAAAAATAGCTTTTTTTCATGGTGAAAGAAAGTCCAACCACAACAGTGACGAAAACCCATAGAAATAATCACATCAACAAAAGAAAAAACATAACTTTATCTCAACATCAAATCAAAATAAAGCACGATCTGCATTACATTATTGCTATATTACGAGTTAAACAACTCACTTGGTGAGGATCGCAACTGGGTTATCATCCGAGTCAACGAGGGCGACTTTATTGGACTCACCGATCCTCTCTTTCTGAGAATCTTCGATCGTCAATACAATCGGCACCGACATGTTGACGAAGGAACCGTCGTCGAGTCGGAGCGAGTTAAAATGAAGAGTTTGGAGGAACTCGGATTCTCTCATGAATCCGGTGAGAGGGCTAGCCCAGCCCTCACTCAAAACGTGAACCCATTGCAAGTCGATCCTCGTCAGCTTCACCCAAGGCAACGAAGCCGCTTCCCGCTTCTTCGACTCCCGCTCCGGCTCCGCCACATGGAGGTCCACGAGCTTCCCGCCGTCCGGCTCGATCAACCCGGCTCGAACTGAGAACCGCTTCTGGAAAGCGGTTCGCGGCTTCAAAGAGATCGAAACGGGGAGTTTGAAGGAACGAACGAAATGGGTATTCAGGGATTTGTTCAAAGACTTGGATGGAAACGAAGATTGGATGAAAATGGTGGAAGCCATTGGAAGAGAGAAACAGAACCAAAACAAAAACCGGTTTTGGTTCGGGTTTGGTGTCTGATTGATCGAGAGGGGTTGAATATATATTGGTTTGGTACGGAAGGGCAGTTAGGGAAAATAGAAAGGCGATGTTTTTTATTTGGATAAGAAAAGACAAGGCAAATGTGGAATCTTTGTTGGATGCTGATATTTGGTGGGATGAACCTGGACACATTTTGCTTAATTTCTTCATTTCAATTTTAGTCCCTATACTTTTTAAATTTTTAAATTATAAATTTACCCAAATGTTATTCATTAAATTTGTTTAATTTAGGATGAAGTACACAAATGGTCTCGGATATAGGGTAATACTTTATTAAGTCTCTCTACTATTAGAAGTTACAAAATAGTCCTCCAATTATAGAGTATTGCTTTGTTGAGTTCTTCGACTATTAAAAGTTACAAAATAGTCACTTGACTATTCATTAGGTTCCAAACTTGTATTTTTCCGTTAAAAATTTGATGATTATCTTAGTCGGGCATGATGACTGAGATTTGATAGTCGTTTGAGATTCCGGGATCAAATTTTATCACATCACATTCAGTAAGTTAACGTTCAACTCAGAATATCGTCAAATTTTTAACAGAAAAATGAAAAGTTTGAAACATAATGAATAGTTGGGTGACCATTTTGTAACTTTTGAAACTCGAGCGACTCAATAAAGCAACATTCTATAGTTGACATATCATTTTATAACTTTTAATAATCGGAGAATTTAACAAAATAGTACCCTATAATCGGAGACCATTCATATACTTTATCCTTAAATTTAATTATATTATCAGTCTTTGTAGTAAACTTAATTCTACTATCACTTTTAAATGGATATAAATACAAATACAATCATAATATGAGAACTACAAGTACAAAGATATTTATAATTTGGTCAAGAATCAAGATTAAAATTTCAAATTTCGAAAAAGTACATGAACTAAAATCTAATCAAATTAAAGTATAAAGATTAGATCTATAACATATGTATAGTACAAGGAATGATGACAAATTTAACCTTTATTGTTATTTATGAAGTTTTAAAGTCAAATTTGGTCACTCCATTTGGACTGTTTTTAGTGTTATTGCTTTAATAAATTCCTTTCATTTTTTATTTGTCCCAAATTACAACTTTTGGTCTAGCTTTATTAGTAAATTGACCCTTCAATTATTTTAATTTTAAAAATTTTAATTGTCAATTTCTTTCGATTTTTCCAAAAGTTAATATTAATGTATAAAATTATAACATACGGCACATTATTCTTAAAAACCCGTACACTTTTGAACAAAATGGTGTGCAAATGATTTGTTTACCAGTGGCGAATACATAAAAAATTTATCGGGTGGGCCAATATAAATACTATTAAAATTTGCTATAATACTAAATTAACCCCAAAATTTTAAATTTCGGATAAAAAATTATTTGTGGATGGAAACCGTTAGTTAACAAACGATTAACGTTATAAAATAAGGGTTCTTTTTATCTTAAAACGAAACATTGAGAACTTAAATGCTTTAAGAAAAAAATAAGGATCAAAGCGATTGTTCAACAAACGTTAAAGACTTTTTTGTCATAAAACGAAACCTCGGGAGTCAAAATACTCAAAAAATAGAATAGGGGCT